TTAATTATACTTGGGTTAAAGATTTTAGTTATTTCATTTAATTAATAACTCAAATCATAATAAAAGTACGCGGCGGGATGAATCTTTGCCATAGCGGCTAAGTATTGATATTATTAAGCATATGGTATTGGTATGCTGAGACTACCGACGCCAAAACGACGTCGATGCAATTTAGCAGCAACGCTCAAATGGCTTCCTTTTACTAAAAATTTAAAATAAAACAAAACAAAACAAACCAACAAACAAAATTCAAATTTAATCTCTTAAAATTAAGTTTATCGATATATAATATTTTAGTTGCCACTGTTTGAATTATTATTTTAGTACAATATTTGAATTGTTATTTTAATCAATATGTGATGACAAAAATTCAAATTTATAATTCTTTTTTTAGGAACGGTATCTTAATTAATTGGACTATGTTCAAGTAGAATTTTATACAATATATTTATTGTCCCACAATATTGTAAATGTTGATCTAACTTATTTATTACATAAATCATAATATCTAAGATTAAGTGAGAAATAAATATTTAAAATGGAAGGAGAATTTTATTATGTTGCTTTATTATTATTATTATTATTATTATTATTTTTCTATTTCAAGAGATTGGGGAGGATTCAAACGTCTCTTGATTAGAAATATGTGTCAATTATTGTTAAGCTAGACTGATGTTGGATTTACAAATATATTGTTATTGATTCTAAAACATTTACAATCGTGTATTTTCTACTGTGTTTCATTATTATTCTTTTTTATTTTTTACAGTTTTTCTTAGCTGGCCATAGTAATATAGTTTCAAATTTTAATTTTGGATTTTGTCATTTAATTTTGTATTAGATTACTTTTCTCATTTGTTTATTGAAATAACTACGTTTTTTATTTATGTATTTAAAATCAGATTTATTGGTATACTTATTTGATTTGGTCCTTTATTTGTTTTACTTAAACTGTTAGGTTTGCGTATAAAGTAATTTAGATTGTGTTTTAATAAACTGTTGTTTGTTTTATACCTTTTTTTTTTGTCAAATTTTTTTATTTTATGTTATTTGAACAAACTTTCTCAACGTTTTGAAAATTCAAACCTAAGATGAAAGGATGTACACGTGTGTCAACTAGAGATAGTTGTTTAGTAGTATTATTTTTAAATCTTATTTTAAAAATATGTTTATTTTGAAACTTATTTTTTAATATAACCATTTTTATTCATTTGTTACCATTAAAACCATGGTTTGAAGACCCGGTTCATTTCATTAAACGATAGTAAAATCGTATCTTGAAGGTATGGCTTTGTTACATGGCACTTTTTGTAGCCATGTAGTGGTAGTGTAACGTGCACGTGCAAAAATCATTTATGTATTTATGTTTTATAATTGTAAATTATCGTTTCGCAAATTTAATTATTAATTTTAAGGGTAATTAGACGATCATGTTGAACTAAATAATCTCTTACATAAAACAAAGACGTTTGTAACATGCCAGCTACTATATTTGTTATACAAATAATATTTTTTTATTATATATTTAAAGAATATCACATAATCAATCATATTCTCATCCTCATGAATTTTCAATTTGAACCAACCTCACAGACTAACAAATTTTTAATATCAAAGTAAATTTTCTAAAAATCGAATTATGAAAAAAGTAAAATTAAAGATGTTTTTATATCAATTTTTGTAAGTTCGTCAAGCTTGGCGTGAGAGTAAGACTTCTTTGTTTTAATAGACATGGATTCAAAGACTTCCTTTTTTTTTTTAATAGACATGGATTCAAATTCTACTTTGAAATATAAAGACTCTCAAATACAAAGATCAAAAATACAATTTACCTCCTTTTTTTGTATAATACAATAAATACTAAAAAAATAAAATAAACAACAACATAAATTAACTATTTAAGACAATGGTGTGGGTTGGACTATGATATATATTATACTAAAAAAAATCGTCTCGGACTAAAATTCAAAATATAATTAAAAATTGGAAGACTAATAATTTCTATTTCTCTTGAGAAAATTCGATGGGAGTTGGAGGATGCACTGGACATCCCCAAAAAATTACACAAATAAAATTGGAAAAAAAAGGGTAATCGGTGCCCTTCCCTCCCAAACACAAACAGAAAGGGTAGACGATGGGATGTGTTACAGAAATGGCCATTTTAGTTTTGTATATACAGAAGAAGAATTACGATTTCTCCATGAGGCACAAGCAATCGCCGCCTCTAATGATCATTGGAGAGGGCGGCGCCGGGCGGCGGGAGAAAGCTCTCCGCGGTCAAGCCCCAAACATTGAAATCCACCTCTTCGATTTTCCAGGTCTCCTCCATCTCCCTCTTGTGGTTGGCAGACTGTTCGCCGTATCTGAAAACGGTGAAGTTGGTCTTGCCGCTGTGGGAGATGTTGACGCCGTCCACGTACCGGTAACTCTCCATCACCGATTCGGTGCTCGTCTCCCAGAAGACGTCCTCGTCCCCCTTGGTTCGCATCCTCAGAAGCCGCGAGTCCTCGAATTGGATCATAAGCCCCGATCGCTGGCTGAAATACCCCCAAATCGTGTGGTGGATTATCTCGTAGTTCGGCCCGCTCTGCGCCTCCCGAATCGCCGGGCTCGTTTCCAGCTTCAGGATGAAGCAATCCTCGTCGTTGATTATCTTCTCCCCGATGCACATCGCGTCGATGAATAAGTTCGCCGTCGCTCTTGGATCCAAACCCTAATTTCAATTTTACACCATTCAACATTCATTCCGCTCTAATTTGATTTAATTTCTCGACGTTTCGAATTATTACCTGAAGGAATCGGCGCAAGGGTCTAGGAGGGCCACTGGAAATGGGGGAATGGTTGTTATTGGAGGAGTGGCGCCATGAAACCTTGCCGTTGGAGCCGCAGATGACTTTACAGCCGGAAACCACGAGCTCCAAGCACCAGAGATCGGGATTCTTCTGCCAGAGCACGAACCCGCCGATCTCTTCGGTGCTCTTCTTCACYTCGATGCTCTCGTCGGAGAGATGGAAATCGGAGGCCTTAATCTTCACCTGCCCTGTCACGCACATGCTCTGCACCGAATTCAACGCCGCCGGACCTCCCGTCGCCGCTATGTACTGCTGCACTATGTATTTCGCCGTCGACGCTTCCTGTCGAATCAAACTCGATTCAAAATGAAGAAAAGCAGAGAGAGGATGAGGATGTTGGTGAAAGAGATTATAGATAGACATACAATGGAGGAATCTCTGAGGGGGCGGTGGATGGAATGGCCGAGCTGGACCTGGAGAGGGATGAGGGGGGATCCGACGAGGTAGAGGAGGAATCGGAGCTCGTTGAAGCGATTGGCGATGATGGGGGAGGACCATTTATCGGAGGTCTGAGCTCTCATCCATGTGGACATGTTCTGCCATCGGAGGGTGACGTTGCTGCCCATGCTGGTGAACATTTCCTCCGGTATCGGAACCTCCAGAATCGTCTCCAGGCCGTCGTCCCGGTCGATGTTCGGACATAGCCTCCTCATCGATCTGTGTAGGAGTAATCAGAAACACAGAAAAAACAAAAGAACAGAGGAAGGTCGAAAAGTGAAAGATCTGGGTGGGCTGGCTATGGAGATTGGAGAGGGAAAAAAGGTGGAGGAAGATGGATGCCAATAAAACGGGGGCAAAGGCTCTCCTTGCTTCTAGTTCTCGTGTGGGCAACAATTTTTATTTTTAATTCCATTTCTTCCATTCAATGGTCCATTTCTCACCCTGTTTTTTCTTTCTTTCTTTTTTTTATTTTATGCAAACTCAATCTTTTTTCTCCTTTTAAAACTCAAACATGAAAATATAGAGGAAAAAGAAAACAAAAAGTATTCTTTACCCACAAAACTCAATGGTTGTATTAATTTTGTGTTAAACTTTCCATTCTACCGACTTTTAAGTTTCTGTCTCTCCGCCCATTAATTTAAATCAAGTTAGTATATCTAACCCTCTTTTAAAATGTAAAACTAGCATAGTTCAGTGCTAATTATCATATATTTCTAATCCAGGTTGTGAGTTTGATCTCCACCCTCATGTATTGTACTAATAAAATCACTAATTAACTAATAGTTTAGTTATTGAAATACGATAAATCTAATCATTTATATGATATCACAACAAGTAAACGTATTATTAATGCTTATTTGATAATTGTTTTTTTTTCACTTTTTTAAATTAAGCTGAGTCACCCCCTCCACTTTATGTGCTTCTTTGTTTTAATATATAAATTTTAAAAATAATTTCAAAATGCATTCTACATTTTGAAAAAAATGGTAGTTTTTGAAATCTTGTTTTTGTCTTTTGGCTCAGAGTTGAGAGATGTGTTTTTGACGGATGTGAAAAAAAAATCAAATAAATTATAGAAATCAATCATAATTTTAAAAACAAAATCATCAGATCTACGTTATTGTTTTATTAACATATTTAGACATACGACGAATATGCTAATTGCTACTTGACACATAAAAACCTAAATCACTCTTAAAAAGAAATTTAAGGTCAACAGAATTCATATATTCCAAGTGTCGAGCCTCGCGTCCAAATATGTTAACAAAGCAATACTTTAATGATACATGAAATTTTTACTAATACATTTTTGGGCAAAAAAATATTTCATTTCATCCATGAAGTTCTCAAATGGTCATGTTTTGGTTCCTAAGGTCTAAAAAATAATTTTAAATGGTCCAGAAGTTTTTCTTTGATAGTTAGTTGACTGACATTAAAACAACATAGCATTTAAGTTGCTAACTATAGTTGGATAATTGGAGAAAAAATATATTAATTTAATAATATTTTCGTGGTGATTGAACTTTCTATCTCCTTCTCTCTCACTCCTTTAGGGAATGTTGTCCACAATTACTCCCTCACCAACCACTCACCATTACTCTCCACGTCAACCTTACGTCGTGCCATTGCTAAGTTGTTCCTCGTCGAATCTGGAAGTCCCTTATCCGAGGTAACGCTACTAGGTTCTCGAATGAGGAATGTTCCTCATTCCATGCCCTATGAGGAATGTGTCGTTCAAGCTGTGTGGACAAGGGCTCCTTGTTGATGGTGGGGATTTTAGCCTGTCAACGACAGTCGAGAAGAAGGAACAGCAGATAGCTGTCGAGACGAGAGATAGCAGGCAATGACGAGCTTCGTCAGATGAGAGAATGAGAAAGGAGATAGAAGTTTGAATGAAGAAGAAAATCCAAAAGACATATGATAAATTAATATATTTTGTCCAATCAACCAAATATAGAGACTTAATATCCACATCACATTAGTCAACTGATGGTCAAATAAGCTAAAAGCCCTTTACAATCATTTCTCAAAGCTCAAGAATCAAGTGTCAATTCTCAAATTTTAGTGATCAAATTGACCAATCAAAAGAATATTTTGCTATCAATTCTTATATATTTCTTGCTGAAAATAGTTACCTTTTTAATACATTACTAATAAACTTAAAACATTTTTAAAGATTAAAGAAAATTTAGAAAGAAAAAAAAAATCCCTCCCCTCGAATTCACAAAAATAGAAAAAAAAATCTAGACATCATTTTTTGTTTTCTTATTATTAAAATGATTAGGTTAGGCCTTTGGGGGCGGGGGAAATTCACATGATCAGAGAGTATGAGTTCTCTCTCGCTCTGTCGCTCTCTCAACTACACGTCGTTTCTTGCTTGACCGTCTTCCTTACACGACGGCTCCGCATTCCCGCCGAAGAGCATTTCAATCTCTTCCAACGACCTCCCTTTCGTCTCCGGCAAGAAGAAATAGAAGAAAACCAGAGCGATTACAGAGATTCCGGCAAACATGAAGAAAGTTCCACCGATCGTAATCGCCTCGTAGATCGAAATGAAACTCAACGAAATCGCCGCGTTCATCAATCTGTTCACCGCAACCCCAGCGCTCATCCCCTGTGCCCTCAATTTCAACGGGAAAATTTCTGTGCTGTACACCCATGTAACGGGCGCAATTCCACTGTTGAAGAAGGCCACGTACATATAAACGGAGATTATGCTGAGAATCAACGCCCAAAACAGATTCCCCTTTGATTTTTCCACCATTGTTAAAGAAAACCCTAACGCAGAGAGCGAAATCGTCACTCCGATTGTGCTCGTGAATAACAGCCGCCTCCTTCCGATTTTGTCGAGGAAGAAGGTAGCGACGAGAATGAAGAGCGCTTTAGTTACTCCGACGCCGACTGTCGCGAGTAGGAGTTTGTCTTTCGCCATGATTCCGGCTTTCTTGAAGATTCTAGGGCTGTACAATATGATTGCTTCAATGCCCACAGCGTGTTCGAAGAAATGAATCCCAATGGCCGCCACCAGAATCCGACGCACGGCGGGGGTCGGATTCAGTAGCTCTCTCCAAACCCCCTCGCCGTGGGTATTTCTGTTTAATTTCACGACGTCTTGCTGGCAATCCTCGGCGATTCCTGCTGCAACTTTAATGTCGCGGAATCGAAGCTCTGCTTCTTCCTCTGTATTCGAGACTTTGTACAGAACAACCTTGGAGTCTTTTAGTCGGCCCTGCAACACCAGCCACCGAGGAGATTCCGGCATGGTTAGTACTCCGCAAGCTAATGCGAGCGAAGGAACTGCCGCAACTCCCAGCATCAATCTCCAGCCGATTTTCGCGGCAATTTTTCCGAAGCAGTAATTGGAGACGTACCCCGTTAAGATGCCCAAGCCGATGCAGAGCTCCGGTAAAGAAGTCAGAAATCCTCTGGTTGCCGAAGATGAAATTTCTGCGGAGTAAACAGGGGCAATCATCAGCGCGAAGCCCACTCCAATGCCGGTGATGCATCTTCCGACCAACAAGATTGCGTAGTTTGGGCCGTAGCCCATCAGAATAGCGCCGATCATGAAGATGATGGATGCTAAAACGATTGTGTATCGGCGGCCAATTTGGTCGGAGGTTCTTCCGGCCATTAGCGAGCCAACCAGTGCGCACAAGTTCAGAATCCCGGCCAGAACTTCCACTTGAACATCATTGATTCTCATTTCATCTTTAATGAATAACATCGCTCCACTCATTACACCCGTGTCTGCACAATCAAAATTGAGGCCCAATAGGTTAAGCATTAGCTTACATTTTCGTTCTTGAATGTCATTTTCTTGTTGGGTCTGTGCTTTTGGGTCTGGGTGGATTAATGGAAGAAAAAGAAGGCGAAGAAAAGTTACCATAGCCAAAGATGATAGCTACAATGGAGGCAACTACAGAACAGGCCAGAGCATATTTATTGAGCTCGTTGCGACTTTGGCCCGAGGCTTCATCCTCAAATAACTTACCCACCATCGTCTTCTCCATTTTTGTTATCTTCTTTTCTGCAGGAGGTTCTCAGAAAGAAAAATGAAGAAGATGGAGCGCTGAGAAGCCTTAAAATTATGACCTTGGAAGGTAAGTTTAAAACCTCAAAGTTTGATGCAGTCTCCAAGCAAGCAGATAAAAAAGAGCTTTTTGGGTTGAAAATTGAAACAGAGACGATCCAGAAAGTCTGAAAGATTTGTTTTATGCAAAAATCTACGAGCTTTTTTTGTCGAATAGATAAAGAATTGTGAGAAAAATCTGATGGAACTGTTTTAGTTTTATACTAAAATTTTTCACTTCTCCACCAAATTCAATTCAATGTGCTTTTATTCGCCAATCAACACTTCCTTTTGGGTACTTCAGTGTCACAAATTTAAGGTAAAATTTTATCCAAAACAAGAAAGGGAAAAAAAAAATTTAAGGTAAAATCATAAATTTGTCTCCATCCATTCGTTTTATTAAAGATAAGATCGTCCCTTTTTGAAGGATTACGTGGTAATTAGATCGAATGAGCTGTCGTGGAATGTTCAATGTTGAGCTGCAGACTGCAGTTCTAATTTCTAGCATGTTGTTATGTATTTTCTAAAATTAGGATGCTAGTTTTTGTTCTTTCGGATAAAGTTGCAAGAAATTAAAATTTGAATAAACTTACTTAAAAGTATTAGTCTCCTTTTTATTTATTATTATTATTTTTAAAGTCTCCGAAGGTTTTTCTGTTTATTTTTTTAACAGGATGAATAAAAGGTTAAAAAAGTTATCATGATTTATTTAAAAAAAATAATAGTAACATAGAAGAAAATTAAATATTTAAAAATTGATAGACAATGTAATTCAAGGTTATTGATTAAATAATAGTAGAATAAAGCTCAATTTTATGGTTTTAGAAAGTGGAAAAATTATATAAAAAAAAACTTTTTGAAATTCAAACTCTGATTAAAGTTATATAATAATTAAACCTAAAGGATAAAATATTTTAAGATTGTGAAGGGATAAATTTTTGGGTAAAATATATTTTTGTTCTCTCAAGTTGAAAATAGGTTTAGTCCCTAACTTATACAAAATAGTTCTAAATGGTCTCGGAGTAAAATTGAACTAGTGATATGCTATATTCGCAATTTTTAAATGATGTATTAATATTTATTAATTTGGCTTCCGCGGTCACCAATATTCCAAATCTATCTTTTTTTCCTCCATAGCTTCCAATAAAACAAATCTATATTCCTTCTCCATCGCTCCCATGGGTATTTGATGATGACGCTCCTCTTCCTCCCTTTGTAAACACCCAAATATTAAAGACAGATTAAAGCGTAAAAACAAAAAAAGATTAGAGGGAATCTCAAAAAGAAATAAACAGCAAAATATGGCTCAAATGGATAAGTACAAAGATGAATCAAATCATAAATCTTAAATTTACTCAACACTAACGATATTATTCAGCACCCTCACGAGCAGATATAGATAGGCATTGTAAAAATTCTCCAAGCATTTTAACGAACACTCAGGGGAGCAATATCCTAAACTAGAAAAATCAACACCACAATCATCCAATTTTCCATCGAAGGCTTCTTTATAGTAATAAAACCTAGAAACAAGAAGCAGTCTCAGAAAGCCACTTCTGGAAAGAGGTTGGAAGAGGCATAAATTTCACAAAACCCTTTACGTACAACCATTAGTTCACAAAAACTGGTAGAATCCATGTAGAAAAACAAACTAATTATTTTTAGTTCGCTAATTATGAGAGAAATTTTTTTTTTTATAACATGTGGATATGTAGATCGAATTCACAGCCTCTTAATTGAAATTATATGTTAATTACTAACCATTAATTTATTAAAGGTTAATAAATCATCCATCTTTAAAGATGTCTCACTGTCAATTTTTATAACAGTGGCAAGTGGAATACTTACTTTTCCCGTGATCACATAAGTTTTATCCTTTTTTTCAAAATAAATCCTTTGAAAATTTTATATTTCATTTACCTCCACCAATTTAGACCATTTAATTAAGAAATCCCAAGAATATCATCATTATTGACGGCCTACATGCCGTATTTCTCTTGCATGGTATGAAACTACACGTCGTTTCTTGCTCGACCGTCTTCATTAGACGACGGATGCGGGTTCCCGCCGAACAGCATTTCAATCTCTTCCAATGACTTCCCTTTCGTCTCCGGCAAGCAGAAATAGAAGAAAATCAGAGCGATTACAGAGATTCCGGCAAACATGAAGAAAGTTCCACCGATCGTAATCGCCTCGTAGATCGAAATGAAGCTCAACGAAATCGCCGCGTTCGTCAATCTGTTCACCGCAACCCCAATGCTCATCCCCTGAGCCCTCAATTTCAACGGGAAAATTTCCGCGCTGTAAACCCACGTAATCGGCGCAATTCCACTGTTGAAGAAGGCCACGAACACATAAACGGAGATTATGCTGAGAATCAACGCCCATAGCAGATTCCCCTTTGATTTCTCCACCATTGTTAAAGAAAACCCTATCACAGTGAGCGAAATCGTCACTCCGATCGTGCTAATGAATAGCAGCCGCCTCCTTCCGATTTTGTCGAGGAAGAAGGTAGCGACGAGAATGAATAGCGTTTTTACGATTCCGACGCCAACTGTGGCGAGTAGGAGTTTGTCTTTCGCCATAATTCCGGCTTTCTTGAAGATTCTAGGGCTGTACAACATGATTGCTTCAATGCCCACCGCGTGTTCGAAGAAATGAATCCCAATGGCCGCCACCAAAATCCGACGCACGGCGGGGGTCGGCTTCAGTAGCTCTCTCCAAACCCCCTCGCCGTGGGTATTTCTGTTTAATTTGACTACATCTTGATGGCAATCCTCGGCGATTCCTGCTGCAAGCTTAATGTCGCGGAAACGAAGCTCTGCTTCTTCCTCTGTATTCGACACTTTGGACAGAACTTCTCTGGCGTCTTTTAGTCGACCCTGCAACACCAGCCACCGGGGAGATTCCGGCATGGCTAGAACTCCGCAAGCTAAGGCGAGCGAAGGAATTGCCGCAACTCCGAGCATCAATCTCCAGCCGATTTTCACGCCAATTTTTCCGAAGCAGTAATTGGAGACATACCCCGTTAAGATACCCAAGGCGATGCAGAGCTCCGGTAAAGAAGTCAGAAATCCTCTGGTTGCCGAAGATGAAATTTCTGCAGAGTAAACAGGGGCAATCATCAGCGCGAAGCCCACTCCAATGCCGGTGATGCATCTTCCGACCAGCAAGATTGCGTAGTTTGGGCCGTAGCCCATCAGAGTGGCGCCGATCATAAAGATGATCGACGCTAAAATGATTGTGTATCGGCGGCCAATTTGGTCGGATGTTCTTCCGGCCATAAGCGATCCCACCAGTGCACAAATGTTCAGAATTCCGGCCAGAACTTCCACTTGAAATTCGCTGATTTTCATTTCATCTTTAATGAACAGCATCGCTCCACTCATCACACCCGTGTCTGCACAATCAAAATTCAGGCCCAATTGGTTAAACATTAAACAAGGGTACAGTGACCGGGTCAGTGGGAACTAGGAGTAATAGATTTTTAAAAATTTCTTGGATGTCATTTTCTAGTTGGGATCGTGCTTTCGGGTTTGGGTAGCTTAGTGGAAGAAAAGGAAGGCGAAGAAAACTTACCATAGCCGAAAATGATAGATATAACGGAGGCAACTACAGAACAGGCCAGAGCATATTTATTGATCTTGTTGTGACTTTCGCCGGAGGCTTCTCCCTCCATTTTTCTATCTTCTTTTCTGCAGGAGTTTCTCAGAAAAAAATATATATATATATATATCTATATATCTCCCCTCAACAATTATGAAGATGATGGAGTGCTCAGAAGCCTGAAAATCATGACATTGGAAGGTGAGTTTAAAACTTCAATGGTTGATGAAGAAACTTCAGAGTTTCAATCTCTAATAAAGCAGGTAGAGAAGAGCTTTTTGAGTTGAAAGTTGAAACAGAGACGATCCAGAAAGACGTGGAGAATGATGGTTGCTGAAAGATTTGTTGTTGGAGACTGAAATGGTGGTTGTTTTATGCAAAAATCAAGATAAGGAATGGTGATAAAAATCTGATCTAGCTGTTTTAGTTTTAGACCAACTTTTGCAGTTCTCCAGCAAATTCAATTCTATATGGTTTAATTACCCAATGAACACTTGTTTTTAGGTACTTCAGTGTCACAAGTTTAAGGTAAAACGATAATTTTGGCATGTCTTTCGGTGACATTGTTCGTATGAGCAGAAGTTCTAGTTTCTACCGTGTTGTTTTGTTATGTGTTTTCTAAAATTGGGATGGTAGTTTTTGTTCTTTCGGATCAAGTTGCAATAAATTTAAATTTTAGTAAACTATAATTTAAAGGGGGTTTAAATCTCACCGTTTTTCTCTTAAAAAGAAAAAAAGTCTTCTCCATTTTAATATACTTATATTTATCTAATTTAAAGATCTTTTTAGAGTTAATTTGTGGGAACAAGGGCTAAAAAAAAAACATTTGATAACGAAGATTTGATGTCTTACTAAAATATCTTAACGAGAGTAGCTATGTTTAAACTTTCAAGTTATAATATCTCAACCAGAGTAGCTATATTTAAATTTGTCTAATTTATAGGCTCGGAAATTTAAATTAGTACAACTTGTGTTTAAATAAAATTTTATTTACCTACGATCCCAAGTTTGTGATGTTACTAAAATTAAATGTCTTACTAAAATAACCCGATAACATACAACTTTTATATTTGTTTAATATGCAAAACAATTCACTAAAGTATTGAAAGTAAAGATGTCTGACTTCTAAGAAGTACGTGCATTTCTTTAAATCATCCAATAATTAGTATATTATTATCAATGTAATTAGAGAATGAAAAGAAAGTTGTAGAGAATGTGAGAATAAATCCCAAGTTAAAAGGGTAATTGTACCTTGAACCGCAAATGGACAGTCAAGTGGATCACTAAGCCCACTAAATGGAAACTGATGGGCCCAATAGAACGCCACACGGGCCCATTAACAGACCCAAAGCGTGCCACGTAGATGGATGACGGTTGCAAAGGAAAAACGCTAATTTTGTGGTTTCTTTGCTAATTATAATATCTTAAATTTATGGTTGAAAAAAAAAAACGTCATATTTTTCACTTTGTATGAATTATAACACAAAAATTTGAT